GATGTCAAACAGGTAACAAAAAGCAGGATAAAAGCCTGACATCTATCCTTCTTTTGCATCTATCTCCTTTGCTACTTTAAACTTTGGGTTCAAATTCCTGTTCAACTCTGTACGTAGACATGTTAATCATTCAAGGAGTATACGTCTAGAACTGGACTCCTCCGTCTTCAAGGCTAAAGACACCAAGATAAGAGTAGCTAAGACACTGACAGGGACACCATAATCAACAGATTGTCAACCAACAGCTTTTACAATGTCCTATTCCAGACCACGGTGGTGGCACCTAGAAGTCTTCCGTGATTGTCCTGAATTTGAAGGTGGACTCAGTCATTGTCCTAACTCCATCTAACTCTTCAGACTTGTTCTTCCTCTGAGTCATTCTCTTCTGCAGTCATCTTGGATTCCAGGAATAACAGGTCTGATCAATAAATATCTTGTGCCAAGAGTCAGAACTACCCAGGCAGCAGCAACTTTCTTATCCCTGACTTGATTCCACATGGCTGATCATGAGCTAATAATCAACTAGAACAGTTTGACCCAGGCTTCTTGACTGTACATACTTCTTGCCCCTGCTTTTGTTCCTTCCCTACATAATCCTGATTCTCTTTCAGTGCCCCAAAGACAAGGTTGAGAACCCTGGCTCCCCAGTATGTCTATACTGAGTAAAGTCCTTTCTTACTTCACCACTTCTTTTTACTATTTGTTCAGTTGGGGCAGGTGGCAGAGCCTGTTCTGTTGGGGACCCCTAGAGTTAGGGCTCTGCACCAGGACTCTGGATAGCAAGATGATGACCTATACAGAATTTTCCCCCTTAATGTGTAGGAGTTTATTCTGTATCTTGAATAGTGAAGTTGAAGTTATTAAAAATTTCTCCCCTGGTGAAATGCTAATTTTTAGAGCTTGGTTCTGCCCCAGAGGATTTGCTAGCAGAGACAAGGCAAAGGCTTAGATCCACTTTAAGTTGTTTGTGTACTTACTCCAGTCCCATTTTAACTTTTGGATATGCTGGAGAAAGATATTTTGTTTTTATAAGCAAAAACTACTTGAACTTTAAAGTTTCTTATCATTAGCTAAATCATTTACAAAGAAATGCAAAGGTAGTTACTAGATAATGTCAAAGGTTTCTCCCAACTTTAAAAACCCTTTTATGGATTATAATTGTATTTAGTTCTTTTTGCATAATCTCTAATATCTTGGATTTTACTTTTCTTATAATCTTTTTTTCTGTACACATGGGATGTTGTATTTAAGTAACTCTACCATATTTGCATTTGAATATGGAAGGAAGTATGGCCTCTTTCTATTCAAGATAAGCAAAATCGTCCATTGGCAATATCAAAGCCACTAGAATTTTAAAATGATCTTTTTCTTTGATATTTCTATTATAAGTCCTAGAGAAAGTATATATAAAGGATTCAAATGTGAACATTAGACTTCCTTTTGCATGTTAAAAAGAATCTAGTCTGGGCTTGGGGCATAGAGCATGGCTTTATCACCCAGCAAGCACAAGGCCCTGCGTTCAAACTCCAGAAGCACCAAAAAAAAAAAAAATCTAGCCTGTATCAGACTAAGATGAGGGGCCGGGGCCAGTATGGACTGGCTTCTGCCTTCCTTCTTGAATTCCATTTTGAGTTCCTTTATCTCACACTGTACCCTGTAGGCCTACCAGCCTTATCTTTCCTGGAACAAGAGAAGCTTTTTCCAGGCTCAGGGCTTTTCCATTTATTATTCCCTTTGGAAGGTGAGAAAAGAGCTCCTCTCTTTCTTATTCTTTAGGTCTTGGCCTTAAATAGTCAACTTCTTAGAAAGACTTAGGGCTGGTGGAGTGGCTCAAGTGGTAAGAGTGCCTGCCTAGCAAGTTTGAAGCCCTGAGTTCAAGTCCCAATGTTGCAAAAATAAAGATTTAAGAGAGCCATTCCTATCTAAATGGATTATTTTCTTAACATTGCACTATTCCTTCAAAGAATTTATAGCAATTTATGCATGTTCAGTAATGATTCATCTGTGTCCCTGGGACTAACCTTGCATAAACCCATCTCTCTTTTGAATAAATAAATGAACACTGGAGCACTAACTCTGAGATACTTTATTGTGGAAATCTCCCAGGTCAAGCCTGGCAATATTATACCACCGCAGCTTCTAGCCTGAATAAGAAGGTAGTGCCTTCTAGCTCTACAGTGAAATAAGGAAATTTATTCTCAGGACCATAAAGTACAAGAAGAAACACAAGTGAGAAATTATGCTGACATAGTCATGTATAAAACTCAGGCTTAATGCTGGTGGGGCAGAAAGTTGTGACACTTCTCCTTACCCATCATATGGGTCACATCTGACATTGCTGTAACAAAGGACAGACTAAAGAGAAAAGCATAATAAACTTACTTAATCTAAATTTTAAGTGATACAGGAGCTTTCAGAATGAAGACCCCAAAACATAGAGAACTCTCCCCCCATTTATGCTTAGGTTTGATGAAAAAGGCACAGTCATGTAGAAATGTGATTGGATACAATGGTATGATCTAATGGTAATAGACTGAGCTGGGGAACCCAGTAAGGCCTGCCTGTCCAGGTTCCTCTTGCCCCCGCCCCACCACACACATGAGGCAGGACCCTTCTGGAGTGAGGAGGATCTTCAAGGGTAAGGAGAAGGGGAAAAGAGACCTTTCTAGGTTTTATGGTTTGCTTTGGAGGAGTTGTGACTTGGTTCCTAGGAGAAAAAGGGGTGGATGACAGAAGATATGTCAGAGAGACTTTGCTTCTTAAATTCTTCAGCTTTCCTTCTACTCAAAGTACTCAGCCAGCCAAAACACTATATGTGGACTATCATGTTCTGAGCTCCAACAATGCCCTCTCCATTTGATCATAGAAATAATAGTATACCTACATATTAGAAGTCAGGAAGACTGAATGGGTGGGTATAGTGAGCAATGGTGCTCTGACCAGATAGATCCCTTTTAGTACCCAGCTCCCACCTACTGGGTTTTCTTTTGCTTCCAACAGCTAGCAGCTGCAATTCTTTCTGTAGGCCAAAGCTGGGGCTGCTAGAGACCCTTGGCTGACAGCATAGAGAGAAGGTGACTGGGAATTACATCCATCAGCCCCTGTCCACAACAATTGAGGGGGTTTTGGAATATGAAAGCCCATGCTCCTTGCCTCCGGTTAGGAGTTCTCTAACTTATTGAGCCATCCTATGTTAGATGTGCTAGTGCCTGGCTTTCTTTCTCTGTCCCTGCTCTTCTACTTTAAGAAATTTCTTCTGGGAGCACTGCCTTACTAAATTACATGCACTTAAATCCTCAAAACCTCATCTTAAGGTCTACTTTTAGAAAAGTAGTTTTAAAACAGAAGAACAGAGGTTCTTGATTTTTTTTTTGCCTCAGTCAATAAGCACATACTGTCTACCTATATGCAAGGCACTCTACAGAAGCAGAAAAGAGCATTTTAAGCAGAGAAAACAAAATAAAGGTATGGAACCATGCAAGAGAATAACTACACACAAGTAATCTAGATCTCCCTAACAACTTTCATACACACATATTCCTCCTTTCATATAACATTTTCTTTTTAACTCTACAAGAAATTAGTTTTCATGTGCTCAACTAAATTTCTTTTGAAGATGTATTTGATTAATTTGTTTTTCTTCTTTTTTGGCTTATAGAAGGTGGAGAGAAGGTAATGAAAAGGAAACCAGCAGGAAGGAGCATGTTCTCTTTCTACTGAGATTCCGGTCTCCCTCTAGTACCCTTTACTGGCAGATTTTTAAAACGAGGAACAGCTGGAAAAGAAATGTGGCTTATAAAGTCCCAGTGTTACAAGAATATAGAAAGATGTACTTGCAGCTGAAAGAGAGTAATTTATTATCTGGTATACATTCTGACTTTGTCTATTATGTTTGGGCAATGCATTAAGCAGAAGGATGAAAAGACAACACATTCTGTTTTTCAGGGAAAGCAAAAGATTTCTTTTTTAAAAACACTTTGATTCTAGTAATAAGCTTAGATTGCAAACATTGACACTAACATGCATTTCTGTGGCATTTATTGGTGATGAGATGTAAATAGTTCCTTATTCTGCAACAGAGGAATAAAAAGGAAGACATATTGCTGCCATTTTCTTCTATTATGAAAATGACTGTTCTAATTTTACCCAATGGCATAAAAACCATTAAGAGTATTACATTAAAATTCTATTAACAGTTAATTTTAAAGTCAAATTATACACTAAAAATGAACTAAACCTATAAGATTTTAAAAAACGTGTTTGCTAATGTTGGTAATTAAAAAAATATATTCTGAAATAGATTGATTCATTCTCACAAGAGGGTTTTCCTATGTTAGGTACAAATGTTAGGGGTAACCTTTTGAGGCTTACAGCCCACTCACCTGAAACCGGCCATGGCTAACATGACCCAAGCCACCACTTACTGGAACTAAGGGAGGTGGGACGGTTTCTGGAACAGGGAACTGTTCTGGTTAATCTTGCTAAAAACGGTATGTAAGTCAATGAGTTGAGACACCAAATCCTGATAAATAATCTTCAAGTAATCTTGCCCCACCACCAAATGTGGGTGATATCAGAAATAGTGACCCAGGGACATAAAAATTGCTGTGTTGACCGTGACTAATGTCTAAAAAAAATATAAAAGCAGCCTGAATTTTGTATTTTGGGGTCCGTGTTGAAACATACTGCGTCGGGCGGATACCCGGACCCCGCTGGCTGGAAATAAAACCTCGCTTTGTGGCTTACATTATCGTGAGTGTCTTTTTGTTCCTCTGAGGGGTGGTCAAACCTTGGACCCCAACACCTATTCCTAGTGTATTTAAATTTAAGAGATTCATACTTACATCAGAACATCTTCTAAACTTCATTAGTTTTTTCCCTTCTCTTCCTCCCTCCCTCCCTTCCTTCCTTCCTTTTTAAAGAACAATAGCTTAAGAAAGATGGGAAATAAGCAAGTTTGTTTCTGAAAAGATAATTAAGAGTTAGAGTCATTTTCCCTTGAATATGTATTTTTATTTAGAATACAGCACTAAAAGCATGATGACAGCCTTTCATTCACAAATGTGTACCCGAGAAGCACACAATCTTTAAGGTCTGTTGTTCTTTACAAGTAATGTAAGTATAGTATTATCTTTATTTGGAACTACAGTCAAAGACGACATTTAGATTCCTCAGCTTTAGGGTACTTATTAACATCAAAATGATGGCCTAGTCATGCAGAGGAAAGAAATTCAAAAGCAGTTTCTTTTTCTTCTGTTAGTTCCTTTGCAGTAAGATCCATCTTTTCACGTGAGAAATCATTAATAGGGAGACCTTCAACAAACTTCCATGTCTTATTCTGTTTGAAAATAATTGCAAATAAGAGATTTACAATTAAACCAGGATTCGTATTTCAGCAAGCAACAGCCTACTTTGAATTTATATCTAAAGGTGTATGTGTTATATCTAATACTACCATACACAAACACATAATGTGCCTGGTGGGAAGAGTTGAATCTTGTTTTCTAGATTAATTTCACTCATTTAATGATGTGAAATTGTGGTATACACAATTTTAAAACTAAGAAAAAACCCATCTAATTTAGTAAAGGAACAACTTTCTAGGCCAAATTATACCATTTTTGAGAAAAATATATAACTACTTTCCCACAGAAGGGAAACAGCCCCAAAAATCTTACCTTGATTATGACAGGGAATGAGTAGAGAAGATCATCGGGAATACCGTAGGAGTTGCCATCAGAGATAACACCCATGGACACAAACTCTCCCTGGGAAAAAACAATTTATGGTCTCATGGTGCAAGAGACCAGTTTACACAACCAAATGACACATAAATTAACAAAATTAAACCAGGTTACATCTTTAATTATGTGCAAAATAATTTTATTACTATAGAAGGAATCTCACCAGCACCAGGTACGCCTATGGATATTATCTCATTCCACTCTACCAAGTTTAAGTGTCAAGTAGGCCAGAGAAGCATCATCCTTACTTCACAGATAAGGAAACTGTGGCCCAATATTGGTTTTAAGAGGAAATATGGTTTCCACATTACTCTAACTTAGCCTGTGCAATCCTGTGCAATAGATGTCATGTTAATAGATGACAACAGCTTGAAAAGGTTAAGTGACTAAGGTTACTTGGCCAGTGGGCTGCTGAGCTGGAGAATGAACTTAACTGGCTTGCCTGCTTCAGGGAATAAATGAGAGTCCTCACCTCTGGGGTTCCAAACCAGATGTCTCTGATGTGGTCACCAATGGCTTTTGCAGCAGACATTGCACTGGACAGTTTCCGAGCTTTGATGACAGCAGCACCACGCTGCTGCACAGTCTGGGGTGGGGCAGGCAGAGGCAGCAGTGTTACTTATCATGATAGCAAAATACTCATCAGTTCCAAGTGACCCTGGGATGAAAGGCTGCAACCATAGCTTAATGTGTCCCTTTCAAAATCATTCACCAGTCTTTTTGAACAACAACAACAAAAAAGTACAAATTCTCCCTAGAATGTTTACCATACTAAATACAAAGAAAAGGATCTTGGTATGAAGATAACCACATGACTTAGTTTTTTTCCCTCTTTGACAATCAATCTCAACTGCTATACAACAGATCAGATTCATGATTGGCTTGTATCATAGAAAAGAAATATGCAATCCTCAGAGCCAGTTATGAAAGACTTGTTGTCCTTGAGGTTTCCCTTTCATCCTTTGAGAGACACTCAGATCAGCAGTATGGTGACTCTCAAGAGTCTTGGCTCTTAAGAGTTCATTGGCTTTTCTTACCATGATGAATTCTCCCTTGAGCCAGCTGTCATCTTTCAGAGCTTCATACACACCAACTTCCTTTCCATGTAATTTCACCTTGGCATGATTAACATCAGGATACTGAGTTGAGGAATGGTTTCCCCAGATAATGACATTCTTTACATCATCAGCAGTCACACCAAGTTTAAGAGCAATCTGGTTGAATTTAAAACAAACATACCACTTAGATAAAGGATTTTATTTAAAATGTGACTTATTTGACAAAGAATTTAAGTAAAGCTAAAAAGTTCTAAAACTTCAAGAGAACACAAGTTATGGTGTTCCCTTAGCACTTCTGAGCAATGAGGTACATCATCTATATTTAAACGAAATTTTTATTATATACAAATTAATTTTCAAATAATCCTAAATATGAAATTTTTGAGTTGGAAGGGACTCGCATTATCAAAATACGACTGACTCCCATTTTATAAATTAGGAAACGAAAGGAAAGAGGTTATACATATGCACCTTGCTTATGATGTGGTGACACCCCAATAAACTCAATGTAAGTTGAAAATATCCTAAGTAAAATGGGTTTAATACACAAAACTTAATGAACATCAGAGCTTAGCCTAACCCACCTAAAATGTGCTCACAACACTTACATTAGCTTATAGTTGGGCAAAATAATCTAACACAAAGCCTATTTTATTATAAAATGTCAAAAATATTTATATATTTATGAATATCTATATTTATGCCTTGGTCAAACTAACCCAAGATTTATTTTACCAAGAACTTAAGAACCCATAAACTGCCTGAATGTAAGCTTCAGCTACTCCAAAATACAGTGAAGACAAACTACCTCTAGGTCTCTTCTCCCTATAGGCCTCCATTCTCCCCTTACTTCCTTTGTTTATGTTGCTTGCCCCTTGTTCCTTTGAAGTCTTGAGCTAATCCAGTTCTGTCTGGATGGCCAAGACCAGGAACTCTGTACCCAGCAGATGTTATTTCTGAATATTATTCATATCAAAGCTAGTCTAAATTAACATGTATCCGGGATAACAGTTTTTTGGTTCCTTAGATGTTTTCATTTTTGTCATACAGATCTGTTAAAGTTTTTGACTAATTCTCCAGCCCTGGTAATTTTCTTTCCCCTAATACCAGCTAAGTGGTATGACCAGTGAGCAGACATATGGCTTGCAAATACACAGGGGAGTTCTGCAGATGATAAACAGCCACTAGGTAATTAAGATCTCTAAGTGTCAAAACAAATTAAGACTAGTCAGCATTCATGTAACAAAAATTCATCTTTGGGTTTATTATTTTCTCACTGGATAAATAACTTCTGTAAGAAAGAAACTGCTTCTTCAAAAACTTCCTATAAATTATCACTGTGCCAGACTGACAAGCTGAAACAGTGCATAACCACAGGCCTGGGAATAACAGAAATGTGTGTCAAAAGTGATGGGCAAAGTAGCTTCTTCCTTTGTGGCTCATTAATGACTTTTGCCCCCAGAAAGAGGAGTGCTTCAGGCACTGGGATTAAGTGTAACAATAACACCTCGGGAAAGAATTTCCTAACCTCTGCCTCCACCAAGGCCTCTGGTGAAAATAGCAAAGAAGGCTCATTGTAGTGTTGTTTTACCTCTTTCTTCCTGCAGGAATTAAATAAGTAACCATCTGGTAATTCAGAATCTATAACTGCAACATGTGTAATACCTTTAATTTATAATTGTTCCATAGTAGCTAAATCTCCTGCTTCCAGCAAACACTCATTGCTTCCAGCCATCAGACCCTGCACACAGGACCAAGCCTATCAGAAAGCATTTGTATTTTAAATTTGTTATTTAATAACCTTCTAATTTAACTGGAATGCTGAAGGAGATATTTCTAAGATGGGCTCTTTTCAACTTCAGACTGTATCCCTCTTAATAATAAAAACAAAATCAGCAACAATAGTAGCAGTCACTGTACTGTATTTGGCTGACAGGTACCATGCCAAGGTCTTAAAATGAATCTTATCTCATTTAATCCTCAACGACTGCCTGAGATATATACAATTATTTTATTTTATAGCTTGAATATGCTTTCTGAAGGTCTCAATGACTTAAGTCATCTGATGCCTTATGTAAGAACATGCACATAGGTTTGGTTTAGAGTCAAGCAAACCTAGGAGGCCCATGATTTACTAGCTCAATCACTCTGAGCAGATTCCTGACCTGTTTGGGTCTCAGGTTTCTTACCTGTAAAACAAGGATAATAGATTCCTAATATAGTTACTGTAAGAGTTAAGTTAAAAATTACATGTAAAGCATTCAGACTAAAATAAAAGCTCAACAAATGTAAATCCTCTTCTCTTTTGCTGGGTGTTCCAAGGCTGAAAGATAATCAATTCTCAGTTTAAGACAGTGGTTTTTCAAGTTCAACCTCACACCATCTTCTGGTTAAAAAAACAGTTTTGATTGGAGGTGTGTGGCTCACGTGGTAAAGAGCCTGCTTTGCTAGCACAAAGCCCTGAGTTCAAATACCAGTCTGACCAAAAAACACCACAAAAAACAAAAAAATAGTTTTCTTGAAACTAAATAAATTTGTCCTCTATAGAAGAGAAAGCACAGGATTCAAAGAACTATCCAGAAGTGATGACCTGTGGATGAAGAGAGATGGCCAGAAAAGTGCTAAGGAATAGGAAAGAGGTGATGCCTGAGAGTTTCAACTTCATTATGATGGCTTCCAAGGGCACCAGAACCACTTAGATCTGAGAAAGCATAGGGGACTAGCCAGGAGGAGTGGCCTGGCTTCTCATTTTTTGGAAAAGCTATTGTTAATCTCCTGGTCACTGACCCGTGGTATATTTATCTTATTCTTCAAGGAACAAGGAAAATTAAGAACAATTAAAATTTTGCTCCTAAGTAGTGAAAGTAGGAAATTTTATGGACACATATAGAATATTACAAGGATATAAAACTAAAATCTGAATTAAATACAAAACTCTAGAATAGGTATAGGCAAGAACTTTCTCAATGGAACCCCAGCAGCACAGCAACTAAGAGATAGCATAGATAAATGGGACCTCATAAAACTAAAAAGCTTCTGCTCAACAAAAGAAATGATCTCTAAACTGAAGAGACCACCCACAGAGTGGGAGAAAATATTTGCCAGCTACACATCAGACAAAGGACTGATAACCAAAATATATAGGGAACTTAAAAAATAATTCTTCCAAAATTAATGAACCAATAAAGAAATGGGCAAGTGAACTAGACAGAACTTTCTCAAAATAGCCAAAAAACACATGAAAAAATGCTCACCATCTCTAGCAATAAAGGAAATGCAAAGTAAAACCACACTAAGAATCTACCTCACCCCTGTTAGAACAGCCATCATTAGCAACACCACCAACAACAGGTGCTGGCGAAGATGCGGGGAAAAAGGAACCCTCTTACACTGTTGGTGGGAATGTAACTAGTACAACCACTCTGGAAAAAAATTTGGGCTACTTAAAAAGCTAAACATTGATCTACCATTTGATCCAGCAATACCACTCTTGGGATATACCCAAAAGACTGTGACACAGGTTACTCCAGAGGCACCTGCACACCCATGTTTATTGTGGCACTATTCACAATAGCCAAGTTATGGAAACAGCCAAGATGCCCCACACTGACGAATGGATTAAGAAAATGGTATCTATACACAATGGAATTTTATGCAGCCATGAAGAAGAACGAAATGTTATCATTCGCTGGTAAATGGATGGAATTGGAGAACATCATTCTGAGTGAGGTTAGCCTGGCCCAAAAGACCAAAAATCGTATGTTCTCCCTCATATGGGACATTAGATCAAGGGCAAACACAACAAGGGATTGGACTTTGAGCACATGATAAAAGCGAGAGCACACAAGGGAGGGGTATGAGGATGGTAAGACACCTAAAAAAACTAGATAGCATTTGTTGCCCTAACGCAGAGAAACTAAAGCAGATACCTTAAAGCAACTGAGGCCAATAGGAAAGGGACCAGGAACTAGAGAAAAGGTTAGATCAAAAAGAATTAACCTAAAGGTAACACACATGCACAGGAAATCAATGTGAGTCAACTCCCTGTAAAGCTATCCTTATCTCAACTAGCAAAAACCCTTGGTCCTTCCTATTATTGCTTATACTCTCTCTACAACAAAATTAGAGATAAAGGCAAAATAGTTTCTGCCGGGTAGCGAGGGTGGGGGTGGGGAGTTAAGGGTGGGGGTGGGGGGAAGGGGGGAGAAATGACCCAAACATTGTATGCACATATGAATAAAATAAAAATTATAAAAAATACAAAACTCTAATCTGTTGTTTTATAATCTCTTATATATTTGACAAAATTAAATTGAATTATATGTCATGTGAATTACTTATCCTAGGAATTAATTTTGAACTACTGTACTAAGAGAACATTGTTAGCAACTGCACTTATAATAGTGTGAAATGAAATATAGTTGAAGATAAAATTAAGTAGGAAAGTCAGCCTCTGGTCCTTAAGAGATCAAATTTAAAGACCCTATAGAGTCTTTAGTAAATTTAATAATAATTCACCCTTAATTTAGTAAAAGGAATGGTTTCTTAGTAAACAAAAACAACAAATGCACAAACATTGAAGTATTTTAAAAGTAACAGAAAAAAGGTTTTAAACCTTTAAAAGGCAGTTTTTGCCTGGCGTGGTGGCTCATACCTATAATCCTAGCTTCTCAGGAGGTGGAGGATCACAGTTTGAGGTCAGCTCAGGCAAAAAGTTTGAGAAACCCCATCTCAACCAATAAAGGTTGGGGGTGGTGGTATGTGCCTGTCATCCCAGCCAAGCAGAAAGCATAAATAGGAGGATCACAGCCCAGGCTGGCCTGAGTATAAATGTAAAGCCCTATTCTAAAAATACCTAAAGCAAAAAAAGGGCTGGGGGCATGGCTCAAGTGGTAGAGGTCCTGCCTGGTAAGAACAAGACCCCAAACTGCAGTACTGTCAAAAAACCAAACCAAGGCAAAACAACCTCCCCTCCCTCCTGCAACAAACAAAAAGACATTTTTCTTACCTGAGATTTGGCTCGGTTATGATCCAAGCGAGTCAAGCAACTGAAGTTCTCCTTGGGGATGGATGGGGCAGACTTGGAGGCCGTGAGGCAGTTGGTATTGGCTGGGTTTCCCACAACAATGACCTAGGATGGATGGAAGGTGCAAGTTTACAGACGGCATACTTATTACCTCTCGCAGAATTTGACTGAAAAAATGTGTAACAGCCTGTATATCAAGTTTGTATCAGTTACGTATATATGACCGACTACCACTGAAGTTTGCAGGAGGATTTCTCTCCTTTCTTTTAAAACTTTTTTTTTTTGCCTTGTTAGTGTTTGACTACTCAAAACATTTCTTTGAGAGAGGCACTGTATATACGTCACTTTCCACTTGGCAATGTCTGAGACCTAAGGTTCTTATATTTCTATTTTGCCATTGTGCTAAAAACAAAGACAGAATATCTAATTATTTACCTATTCATCACAAAAAGGAAGTAATCTAGGGCTCCATCTCAGAGTTTGATTCATTCATAAAATTTTTCTTTCTTTTTGAGTTTAATTTAGGATGCTTTGCCTCTGTGAATTAAAAGTGTTTCTTAAACTTGCCTAATCCTAAGAAGTACCTGTGCTTTTTGCTCAAATATAGGTTGTTGTTCCCTGCTCCAGCACCCCCCTCCACACCTGCAAAGTTATAGAATCAACCTTTAGGAGAAAACACCAGGCAACTTTTTTTTGTAAACAGAAAATGCAAGCAAAGACTGACTGCATATCCCCTTTACCCAGATTCACCAGTTTGCGCCATCCATCTCTCTCCCTTTCTTTGTCTCTCTGTACACACACACAGACTTAAACTTTTACCTTTTTCAGTTCATTTGAGAACAAGCTGCAGTTAAGCAGCTAAGATACTCCAGTGCTCCTAAGTATTACAGTATCAGTGAATATTTCTCCTAAGCAAGGACACTCAAAGATGGAGGGAATACTGTGCCAACAGTACCACAAATCAAAGCAGTCTGGGGTTTAGCAGTCTGAATAACCTTGTAATCTTTTACCAAAAGACCTGTGGATTTCTACTTAACTCATTTCTATTATTTTTTGTTAATGATCACAGAAAAGTTAACTATTTAAAATGAAGTCTACAGAAAGCAAAAAATATAGATGTCTATGAAGTATCACAGAACACCATAACTATCAACTTAAAAATTCTCTTTCTAAAACAGAAGTTTTCTTACCTTTTTTAGAAGCCAGGACAGGGAAGTATATTGAAAGTAAAATCCCTAATTAGCATGTCTTTTTTTTCCTGTGACAATTTAGTTTTAGTTAACTGATAATTCATTCAGAAAAGACAACTTTTTGTATTATTAGGACAAATTTAGGAGCTAAAGGAAAGAGCCTGGACACAAAGAGACAGAATATAAATTCATACCAACTCAATTTCTCAAGAAACCAGTCCATGAAAATTCCTTAGCATTGGGAAACTGGGCAAAGCCACCATCTCCTGTTGCTGAGAATAAAAGTTTCTTACAGCCATCTCCTTTCATAATCACATACACAAATCTGTCTGAACAAGTACTCCCACTCAGCAAAAAGGCACCGGAAAGTTGTTTCTTATTTGTAAGTTTAAGAACTAACACTAGTAAGAGATAAAATATCTTTGAGTCCTTCCACATATAGATTTTTAAACTATAAAAAAAAAATCCAGAAAGGGAGACTTTCTCAAGCAAAACTTGGTATCTGTATTTACTGATCTATGCACAGAACCAGAAACGTTTTTTTTTTTTTTTCACTTAAATACTGAAAGCAGAAGTTTCAAAGTGCAAGCATGGAAAAACTCCATAAACTGTGGTATCAGTCACCTTAACTGATTTCTTGGCATACTTCTCCAAGGCTGCGCCCTGGCTCTTGAAGATTTTCACATTTGCTTTCAGTAAATCTTTTCTCTCCATGCCTTCCCTTCTTGGCATGGAGCCCACAAGTACAGCAACATCTAGGTCTTTGAAAGCAACCTCTTCTTTGTCTGTTGCGATGACATCTGTGGACAAGACAAACAATATGTAGAGCTACCTAAATACCCAAGTCTGAAGTTTTCTTTTTCATACTGAATCTTCTTATTTATACTTTCACAGTATAGCAAAAGTCTACTTTTACATATCCCACTGTTTCACTTTTCAGGGCCTGAAGAAAATATAATTATTAAATCACCATAAGATCAGCAGAAATATCAACAAATTTATTTTGCATTTCCTACCAATAATACCACCAAAAACTATAGCAAAATCATATAGAATGCAAGCTTTGATATGGTAACTTTCAAAGCAACATGTTGTTTGCAGTGATTACCACAGATAACATGGAAGAGCAAATAATTCACTTAACCTTAAACTTTGACTCCTTTAAGGCCTAAGATACCAATCACAAATTGAAAAATAGTAAATGTTTATTGAGGAGTATTGGCCCAAAACAATGCTGAGAGATTTCTATCACTATTAAACACAATCTTCACAATTTACAGATGAAGAAACTAAGATTTAAAGAGATTATCTAGTTACTATAAGATAGTGAGGTTTTAATTCCAGCCCAGGTCTGTCCAGAGTTCAACTATTATGTTATACACACAACTTGCTTTTTGATTAAGAAACATATATTGTTGCTCTACTTGGCTGACTGCATTAAAAAGGCCATGCCTAAGATTTAGCATTTCTTCTGGTAAATTTTTAGGCCACTGAACTATGTTAGTTGGTCAGCTATTAAGTCCCCAAATGGAGATATGCAGGAATACCAGCTAGAGGCAAAAAAATACCCATCTTCTTTTCTCAGCCATACATTCTTATTTGCTGAAACTTCCCTTCTCTGTTATATTAATAGCTGCCAGGGGAAAAGCTAGGTCCAATAGGAGCAAAGGGAACAGCAGACAAGGCGGAATGCAAAGGAAAAAGCAACAGAGGAAGTTGATTTGGTAAGAGTTGTGGGTAAGGAAAAGGAGCCAGCAGAAAGCCTGGGCAGAAGTCATGTATTTTACAGAAGTAGAACCAAATGATTTAGGATGGTAAAGCAGTGTTCCTCTAGAAAACTAAGGAACTAGAACTATGAAATTCAAAGAAGTTTCCTTGGGATGTTGTAATAGATTGTTTTAAGCAAAACTTTCTACAAGAGTATTCATTAAAACACCCAAAAGAAAAGGGACCCCAATTGAAGGTATAGCCTAAAATGAAATAAACTCCAAATTAAGTAAAAAATATGACCCTGACAGTTTGACCCCAACTTGTTCAATCGAAATTTAAAGGACTTCTGTGTTACATAAAGTTAAATTCAATGATTTCTAAAAAGGCCATTTCTTTGAACTGTTGTGGGTTTTTCAAGCTATGGGATCCTAAAATATGAGGACAATTTTACACTATGTCACAATCTGATGAGTGGCAGATGGGATGGGACCAAATTATGAGACCAACTCACTTCAAAGGGTAGTATATGGCTCTGGAAGCGACATCCTTTAAAATTTAAAGGTTTTTCCATTATAGGATGGCTGACTATAGCATTTACATAGACTTCAAATAACAACCACAATGTTTAGACAAACTCAGGTACAATATCCTTGTGTATAATTATGCTTCCTTAGTATAATAATTATTAGACAATTCGAAGAGGAAAAAGAAAGTCCTTTACTTCACACAATTGTTTTTTTGGCTTTTGCCTCATTTATTCTTGGTGTACATCTTAAAAAAACGGTAGCTGTTAGTTTTCACAAAAACAAAAATAACACTTTTATGGCCATAATTTCTAATTGAGAGTCGTAACAAAAATCTTAAAGGCTATTTTTATAAAGATATACAATAGTATAAAATCCTTTCTCTTTGGCCTCCCCAACTCACCTTTCAGGAGGTGAAGGGCACCAGTCTTGCCAGTTCCATTTAGGGACACCATCAAGAAACACCCATCATGGGTAGTGATGTCAACAGCACAGAATTATAGGCTGCCAAATAGCAAGGACAGTATCTGCAGTGTAAGTTTTGTCATTTACTCAACAAAAAAAGTCCTTTTTGCAAAGTTTTTGTTTACATGTATTAATTCCCATTAGTCATAAAAAACTGGTTTAAGGAGCTCCAGATAGCGAATATTATCTTGCCATCTTCAGAAAAAGGGAATGCTATAAAATCAAGCAATGATTTACAGACACACCAAGAGGAAATCATCATTACTGAATTTTAAAGAACAGGCAAAGAAAACATCAATAGAAGTGAGATGCCACAGCTTGCTGTTACAACTTTAGGTAAAGGATTTCAGGTGTTACATTACCAGTCTTGCCTAGAATAAGGGTCCCCTAATTAAGAATGTAGGCTAAAAATTAATTGCTAGAATTATAAGTAGCAGATTTCCTGCTGTCACTAATTTTGTTCCAAAGACCATTTAATGAAACAAAGAAGCTTGCTATTCAGCAATTTTCTCTTATTAACTCTCCGACATTCCTGTCACTAGTGCAATTCTTATTAACCTGCTGATTGCAAACCAAGTTAAAACTAAATACAAGTATTGTAGAATAGTATTCTGATTTGCAAACTGTTTGCCAAGCCTGGAGAGCACGTTAATTACCTTTGCCAAGCTCCACTTATAGGCAACTTTTATTACATTTATAGGGAACTAGGGCCTTGTCCTTCACCATTTTATAATCTGCCTGCAATCTGAACACAGCAGTTGTATAAACAAAACATTCTTACTCTAAATAATGCCAAGATTTATAGACATGCCCTTACCTGGGTCTTTACCAAAGACAGAATCCCATTTTCCAATACTGTACAAACAATGGAATATGCAATTTGGACCAGCTGCTCCAGTGCACCAAGGAACTCTGATTGTTTCAGACTGTAATTGAAAACAAAAAAAAACAAAAAAACAACACCCTGATTCCACATTTTCTTATTAAAAAGCTGCTATTTTATCTAGGAGATATTTAAGGATTTTATTAAGACAAAAAACATGCTAAAAGTTGAAAGTACGTGGGTATGGTGGGAGCACAGAAGTCAAGAAGAGACCCCAGTATTGAGGCCAACCCTGGGCCACATTTAGTGAATTCAGGCCAGCATGAGCAAATAAGACAGAAGACTTGTCTCAAAAAAAAATGAAGAGGCTGGGGATGTAGATCTGTAAATAGATTCTCCAGCACCAAGGCAGGTAGGGTATGGGGGAGAATGTGTAATGTAAACATTTTAGGTTTCTTCTCATCTACTTAGTAGGAAACTTAATTTACTGACTTAATTTTTATAAAATATAGCAGAAACAAACAATAAAGCAACTTACTAAATATGTATCCTTTGGCTGGCATTTATTTCTGTGGTGTTACTTAACTCTCAAGGTATTGGGAACAAAAAGTGGTTATCCTGTATTTTAACTTACATAATCTCATCCATTTTGGAGGAGGGGGATCTTTACTAACTAAAAATAGGCCTTATGGATGACGAATGTGTGTTATGTGCGGTGATACAAACTCCCAAATCAGCAAATTCTTATGATGCAAATCCCGCATGTGCATCTGCCTCAGTAGAATCCTTTCACACCAGGAAGGAGTATCAGTGATAAAAACTTTCTATTTACATGAGCCAAAATGTTTTATTAAAACAATCCATGCTCAACTTAACTACCTTGAAAGATGGAAAAAAATTAATCCTTTATTTTTTACTGCAGAAAAAAAGTGAACAAAATGATGAATATCTGGATTAAAAAATAAATTTTAGTATTAAAAAACAGTAATAAACACAGTAACATGTAGCACTAATTGCACAACCTGACTTCCAGGAAGGAGGAGGAGCCATTACCAAAAGAGTATAGTGAAAGAAGTAGCTTGCAGACATCAACAGCCCTGGAATAAAGTTAAGGACACGATGGACAAAAAAAGGTTCCAAAAAACAACAAAAACCAAAAAACCCAAAAAGCTGATATTCAAAGTGATGACCTTGAGTTTATTAACCAAAAAGGTTAAATTAAGCTCAGATAATTTAAATAAGGAACCAAAGGTGAACTATTCCTTTCCCCTAAAATGCTTGGGTAAATGTGCTTCTGTTACCACTTTCCTACCTGCATGAAAGAAATGGCCCACTAACTTTACTGTTGATAGAAATGTTTTGAGTCTGTTGTATTTTGAATCCCTCTTCCATATGAGTCATTTCTCTGAAATGTGGTGGAAGGAGATGATGAATTTGGAAGGAGCTTTTTAACCTCCTATCCCTTAAGCTTCTGAATCAGTAGCCCTCAGCATTATGGTACCCATAGACGTCAAAGGAGAAAAAAAATAATCTCAGGGAAAGGAAGTGTCAACTGTGAGAAAGAAAATGGAATGTGATCCATAGCATACTGCCACGTCATTTTCCGTAGAGGACATGCCCAAGTGTCCAAAAAACTGTTTGGAGAAATCCTCCCTCAACTCCTGGCCTTCTTCTTCCATTTTCTTCCCCTGCAAAAACTCCCCCCCTAAGCCTTTTCATATGAACTTTTGGTCTCTTCTCCACCTGTTCTCCATCATCTTCCTCCTAGACTTTCTCAATCCCCATTGCAAAAATTATGAAAGTGTTCTACATAAGCCAATTTATAATAAAATATATATTTGTATTCTTAAATAGGCTTATAATATATAAACAAGCATTAAGCATTTACTGTACAGTTATTTTCTATTATAAAAAATTACACAAAATGTTGTGTGTTCTGGTATGCCATTACTAGGAACTATTTTACTATTTATAGTAATATTTACTGCCCTGTACATAGTTTTCATCCTGTCATTCTTGACTTTGTTGAAGTAAATTCAAGACTAGATTGAGGAAAGGGGAATGGAGGAAAATTATTCCTCTCTTTCTTCCATTAGCATGCAAGCAGACTTTCTTAAGACCAGGGATTTTGCCTATTTTATTTATTTTTTGCCCTTTTTAAATTCAACTTTTATTTTGCTGCTATATTCCAATGAACTAGAACACCTGGTTACTAGTTACAGCTAGGAATTTGCTTTTACCAAATAGCTGGCATCTTATAAATACTGCTTACCAAAAAAGATGGACATGTATGAGATTAGAAACAAAAACTGAACATGCTTTTAAAAAAATTAAAGAAATTTTATTCATATATACTTACACTTGAGAAGCGTTAGCAAAGAGGGACATTAATAGTTTCAGCTATGTAAGCAAAAACTTATGTCACAATTTTTCTAATGCTATAGTCTTATTCAAATCAACTATAAAAACTTATCACCTCACTTAATTGACTCACTAAAACAGTACGCCTGTTGAAATTCTTACGTTGCCTGGTACTTGTTTAAGCCAGGAAATCTGTCAGTTGTACCACTGGATTTAGGAAAGTGGATAAAACCAATTTTTCTAAAAACCAGAGGCAAAGGCAGCAAAGAGGCAGGCAATTAAAGAGATGGCCTTTGGAGCCAAACCTCCAGGCTCAAAGTTCCTGGTCCCACCAATTTCATTAGCTTTCATGTTCCTTAGGCAAGTTACTTAACCTCTCTGTATTGCTGCCTTCAAATAGTGAAAAAATGGAGAAATAACAGGCAGGCTACCTAACAAACCACGGTAGTTTTAAAATACTGAAATAGTTCACATTAACAAAGCACAAAAGAACAATATGCAAACAAAGTGTTATAATTTTAATAGGTCTCGTCAAAAAGAATTTTTCCTCTAAGGGGGTTCTGATAGCCATGTGTTTTTGCAATTTACACATCTGTTTACCTCAATTTAGACTGTGAAATCCCCCTTGGGAGTAGTGCCTTTGGACTCCAGATTTGCACTCTCATATAATTTCAACATATATTTTGTTGAATGAGTGAAGGTAAAGAATGCCGCTATTATTAACCTCCCAGAAAGTCAAATAGAGGATTAGAAACAGAATAATGCAGTCAATTTTAGGAGCTAATTTAGCTTACTAAAAAATGTGTTCACAGTATCATTAGTCCTTAGTGAAGGGGTTTGTGGCCACTAATGAACAGCTTAATTCAATCTCAGGGCAAGCTTCGTTTTTTGTATTTCTGGGCAAATTATTTCACAGATAGGCAATTCCATCTTGTTAAAGGGTAGTATAAGCCTTAGTTAAGTGTCTGGAATGTTTGATTGATGACAATAGGTAAAGGAAAGCACATATTAGTTCTTACTACTCTTTCTGAAACACTTGCAGTTGAAGAAGCAGGGCTGGGGAGGAGTCCTCCCACCTTGGACTTCTCACACATGTCTCGGTGCCGATGGCATGTTACTATTCTTTGCTTCAGATTCTGCGGCAGTCTGCCAAGAACCCAAGAAGGAATGTCTTTGCTTTCTCAGGTACTAATGACCTTCCTTGCAGATGCAGGGCTCTGTCTTGATAACATGTTTAAAGTCTCAGTTTGCAAAGCTTGAATTTAAGTGTTTTCCTTCTTTTATTCCACAGAAAAAATGTATGTAATTCTATACTCTTATTTGATATTCTTAACTTACATATATTTCTGTAATACAAAAGAAAAGTGATATCATTTAGATTCCTTGTGATACAATAAGAATACAGTTATCTTGCTGTCATTATCTAATGGACACAAGCAAACAAACTCTACCTTTAAAAAAATTCTTTTGAAGGGTCTGTGGAGGTGGCTCCAGGGTAGAGTGCCTTGCCTAGCCAAGTACAAGCTTGAGTTCAAAGCAAACCAAGTACGGCAAAAAGATTAAAAAAAAATTGCTTTAAAAGCCAGGCACCGTGGAGAGTTACATGCGGTTTCATACCAGTCTGGGGAAAAATTAACAAGGCCCCATCTCAACAAACGTAACAAGGCTCTGTTTCATCTCAGCCATGGTTGGAGGAGGATCATGGCCCAGGTTAGCCTGGGTGAAAAAGCAAGAACCCTATATCCCAAAATAACCAGAGCCCTTGCCTTTAGCAAGCATAAGGACCATTGAGCTCAAAACTCTA